TCGTTAGGGCTGGAAAAGACCACTAAGGTCAACCTGTCCAACCATCAGCCCATCCCCATCATGCCCACTAAGCCATGTTGTGCAGTGCCACATCCACTCTTTTCTTGAACACCTCTGGGGATGGTGACTCAACCACCTCCCTGGGCAGCTGTTCCAATGTCCAACCACTCTTTCAGAGAAGAAATTTTTCCTATTACTCAACCTGAACTTTCTGTGGTGCAACTTGAGACCATTCCCTATAGTTCTATTGCTGTTAAAGGGGAGAAGAGGCTGGCCCCCACTTCACCACAACCTCCTTTGAGGGAGTTGTAGAGAGTGATAAGGTCTCCCCTGAGCCTCCTCTTCTCTAGGCTGAACAATCTCAGCTCCCTCAGCCACTCCCACAAGATCTGTGTCTCAGACCCTTTACAGCTTCACTGCCCATCTCTGGACAAGCTCCAGGACCTTGATGTGTTTCTCATAGTGAGGGCCCAAAACTGGAACTGTTGTTTTTGCCCTGTGGTGTTCTTAATTTTTCACTGTTAAAGATAATGGCAGTAGGATAAATGTTATCCCCAGAGAAAAGCTGGCAGCATCTGGGTTCAGCAGTGGCAGCCAGGTGTTCCTGGTACCAGCTCCAAGTTTCACTGCCCCTTATACACCTAAAGCTGCTCTGATGGAGTGATAACACTTGCTATGAAGTTCATAGATGTTCTAGGTTTTTTTTTTTTTTTTTTTTTTCTGTCTTGTGCCAGGTTATTTTTTTTAGCTAAATCAGTTCCCTGGCTGCGTTTGCTACCTGACTGTAGGAAAGCAGTATTTTTTTGGGAGACTTCATTGTTGAAGTATGTGGAGAGTTGAGAAGTGTGAATGAAAAGCTGGGGGGGTTGGTCTGCTGCTGCTCATGTGCTCACAGTGCTGATGTCACTGTGGCTCTGCAGGCCACTCTGTGCTGCACACAGCTCTTCTGCTGGGGCAGCCCAACCTCATTCCCAGATAGCAGTAAACTCCTGCAGCAAAAAGAATTTTCTGTTTCCTTCCTCTCTTCCTCCCCAGCCTCTATCTATTAGCCTGTTCACTCACATGTTGCCAGTGTGATTAGGGCTGTGAGTGTATTTTTGAGATGCATCTCTAAATTTATTTCAGTTTTCTGTTCATAATTTTACAGGCTGCTAATAAACATTAAGTATAGATCAAGCCATGGAAAATGTGAGATATTTTGGTTTCTTGTCTGTGAAAAGGAGCTAATGGGCCTTTGGGTATGAGGATGGGGAATTTTAAGTCCTGGATATCGTTTTTTCCCCCTCTCTGTGTAGGACTTATAAGGAGGAAATTAAGTCTTAGAATAGAAGAATGCTTGATTTCTGCCTTCAGTCTCTTATCTCAGCTTGTGTAAGCCAACTATGCTTCTGAAGCTGGTCCCATCTGTGATGATAGGGTGATAGCAAAAGGAACAGGCAGGGACAGTAAAGAATAAATATCCATCCAGTTGAGTCTGGCCAAAGGTCTGAAATGAGATATGGATTCCCCTTGTGAAAATCTCCCCCCTCATTACACTAAATTAAAATGAAATGGAGATACTGATTTAATTCATGCTCTCTTGGTATGTAGAAATGTCTAAATACGAGTGCATTAAAGCAGGTGAAATGATTCCAGCAGCTTTTCTTGGGGAGAAATACGTTATCGCTGCGAGGCTTTGATAGAATGAGGGCAAACTTGTATAAAATGCCAATGCTTCCTGTTGGCTTTGTATTTGCATAATTCTCAGTGCTTTCACAAGGCTCCTTGCTTTCGAATGTTTGTCCAAACATTAAGTAATCTGCAGCAGCCTGGGGCTATCAGCGGCCATAGTTTCTGCCTAGGAGGGTGGGGAGGCTTTGGCTGAGGAGGACAAGATGAGGTTTTGCTGAAGGTGGAACTCTTCCAGGAAATTGGCACCCAGCTGTCAACACTCAGGACAGCCTAATGATGCTCAGCAAGACCTGCCTCGGCTCAGGCTTGTCGTATGGGAGTAAACTCAGGTGCTGCCTCAATCTGGATTAAAAGATCAGACAATAATGGTTCTGTGGCTGGAACATTTTCGGGGATGCTTCCTGTTCGTTTGTTTTTTTGTCTGTTTGTTTGTTCTTTTGTGGGATGGCTCATTATTTGTCACCATTTAGTTGCTCCTGTGGTCCACAGGGGCCGGGGTTTTGCCTGTGCTCAGTCATTTCTCTGTATCCTCAGTGCCAATGGGATTTATTTCAGCCCATGCTGCAGCCCTGTCTGCATACAGCCAGGCTTTCCTGTTTGCTTGGCAGAGATCCTGAGGGCAAAAAGGGTCCCCACGTCACTGAGCACTGTGGGACTGCTCAGCAAAAATGTTAGCACAGATTTCCCAGCCCCACAGAGAGCTGGGGGTGTCCTATCTGGTCCAAACCCACTGATCTCATGAAAACCCTCGCAGCACCCAAATCAGGCATTGTGCTAAAAGGCAATGGAATACGAGAAATGAATCAATTCACATATCCTGGTAGTTGTATCTAAGCCACAGGGGATGTCCAGAAGGAAATGGTGTCACGCATTGGCAAGGCAGCAGCCGCATTTACTGGCTTAATTGAGATTTACTCATTGAAAATCTGCAGCTGAAAGGCTGAACTCTGAATGTTGGACTTGAAAAGTTATTTTTTATCTAAACATACAGATCTGAAAGCTGGAAATATATCAGAGGTACAGGCAAATAATCTGAGTGCCTTTGAAAATAAATGGCTTAAATGAGCGCTGAGCAGTAATCTCCCAAGACATAGTAAAATAGAAGATAGAAGTATTTGGCGGATAAGAAACAGAACTGTCTGCTGTGTCGGGGGTCTGCTGGATAGTGGAATGGAGACACTGGCAGTGGTAGGAACAACCCTGCTCTTACATGCATTAACTGGGAGGAAATTATACTGGGTTCATTGTAGCCTGCGCAGGAGGAGCAGCGATAGATGGGAGCGGTGGAGCCCTGCTTGGTTGACAAAAGTCAGGCTCATTTAAAAGCTTTGTTCATTTGGGGTCTGTGCATAGAAGAGTGGGATAATGTGGCACTGTCTGTCACTGTGATTTTGTCCTTGCTGGTAGTTTGAGCTTGCTGTGTAATTCCTGTTAATTCTACATATACAGCACAATGCTCAGATTTCTTTTACTGCAGAAACAGATTCCTCCTGTCTTCATTGCTGCACCTGCAAAATAAGGTGTATTATACTTCTTTTCTCTACAGTAGTCCTTTAAAGATCCGAGTTACTGGAATTTCCCATTAAATGTCCAAAATGAGTTCCCATCACAGTGGATGGTTGTAATAGGTGTGGCATGTAGGTGAGAGAGAATAAGAAAAAGCCAATTAAGAGGTGTTACCAATGAGCAGAGGAACATGAGTGCTGAATGCTACTGGGATCTTGAAGACTCCTTCCTTCTTAAGCAGCCAAAGGGTATAATCTCACCAATTAATATATCAAGCTGAATCTTAAGGCTGGTTGGGCCACCTGCTCCTCTTCTGCTGGAAAACATCCAGAGCTGAGTGTAGCTGGAAAGCTTTTTGCTCCAACCTGAAGTTGTTCATAGCCAGCTTGTACTCATTTGGCCTTGTGAAAGTATCGTCTGTAATTGCTGTTTGTGTGGTAAGGAGAGCAGTCTTGTCTCCTCAGAGCCATGCAGCTTAAACACTGGCAGCTCTCATCTCCCTTGTAAGAAGGACTTGTCATTCCCTCCTCGCACCTCTGATGGGTTCTGTTCATATTCATCCTTCTTGAACATAGGCTCCCAGGTGGAGCTTAATATCTTACAGTGTTCTGCTGTTACTGGTACACCTTTACACCTTCTCTAAATCTACCAGAAATACTTCGTTCTCCAACAGTTGTCAGTATCATGTAGACTGTGAAGACCTACTGTGCTGATGTCTCTGGTTGTCTCTTCCCAGCATTTGGTGATGTGAGTCATAGGAATGTAGTATTGAGTCTTCTTCTCGCTAAAGCCTTACGCTTGGAGAAATGAGGGGGTTGATCCTAGTCTACCTGCAGAGTGACATTTCTAGTGTTTAGTTTAGGCCTTAACTCAAACTGATCTTCCTCCACTGCTGGAACTAAGCCCTAAGCTCAGTGTCTTTGAAGAAGTGTGGAGTTCTTAGAAGAAACAACAATTTAAAATGTTTCTTTTTTTGTATTTGAGCATTTTTTACCAGGATTGTTTGGCAATATAGGGATATAAAAAGTACATTTAATATGATGGTATATCTATTTTTGGTTTTAATCTTCATATTGATGACTAAGAAGATACAGTTGCTGTAAATTGTGATGTTTGTGATGTAATAGACTTTCTGCTACTAAGATGAAATTTCTACTTACAGTTTTCTTCAAACTGGCAGGTGCTTCAGTTATTTGTTTAAAGAATTTGCATCTTTTTAACGGGGATTTCAGGAGCTGAAGTGAAACTCTGAAGGTTTTAGGCAGTGCCATGGTTCACCTGATTTCCAAGGGCCCCCTCGGCACTGTGGGTTGATTGCAGCTCCTACTACCGATGTGATGAAGTCAGTAACAACTCCATGCTGTAGATAGTTGAGTTACTTTTTGCAGCAAAGCAGCTTGAAATTGAGGTGCACTCTGTTGTAAGTAAGGGCTCTATCTCTGGAAGAAATTTACCTACTCATCTGTACTTTTGGTGGTTATAATTTGAGGCCCATCTCATAGAATCATAGAATAGCTTAAGTTGGAAGAGGCCCTTAAATCCTTAAATGTCATCTATTTCTATTGCTCTGCAATGAGCAGGGAAGCTAGCCATTAGGAATGAACTGTCAGTGCAGAACTGATGCTGGCAGAGCCTTTGCTTTCCATGCTTTGTTTCATTTGTGTGGAAGGGAAGAAAAAAAAAAAAAGAGAAAAGCCAGCAAAAACAAAAGCAGACTTTCTGCTGCAGCTGTTTGAAACAATAAATGAGCCACGATGTGATGTGGGTTTTATTTTCTTTCCCCCCCTCATTTCCTCATCCAACTTTTTTTTTTTATTTCTCAGTCTTGGCAGTGGGAACAACCATTCTCAAGAGCTGGTGCTCTACTGTGGTGAGTCACTGGAACCACATGCACTCTGTTTACTAGAGTGCAGAATGTGCTCGTGCCTTGCTACTTCCCAGCATGAGTGACTTTGCCTTTATGAAGCTCTATGCATACGAGATGACTGTGGGAACTCGTCTCTGTAAGGCCAACACCTGAGCCACTGACGAAGGGAGTCTGCAGTGCAGTTGAGGTCAGTGTGATATGTAACCCCAGTGATGTAATGCACAAGGTTTTGACCTGCGGGAGGTTCAGCCAGGGTGGCTGAAGCACTTGTGGACACAGCTACTGTGTTGCTCTTCTCCTGGAGTTTGTTCTGGGACACGTGGGAATGGGAAACATCATGTGAATCAGCTCAGATGTTATCATGCACTGCAACTGCATCATATTAAAGTCACCTGAAAAGGGTTACTAATAGTAGTTTGTACTGTTTTTTGGGAAGAGTAATGAAGTGAAGAATAGTGAGTAGCAAATACCTGAGTTATCTGACTTGAACTCATTTGTGCTAGGAGACCAGCACCTTCCTCTACTGCCAGACATGAAATTACACCCAGATGTGAGTGTCAGAATAGGTCTGATGGGGCAAACCCACAGTAAGAAAGCTGTCTGTGAGATTATACATGAATATATCTCCATAAAAACACATAGTTGGTTTAATTAGTGACCCTGTGGTTACATGGACCTGTAAGGGTTGTGGCAGGTGGTCTCCTGGCGATGCAACTGCCGTGGTAGATGTTGTCATTGCTGTGTCTGCTCTGCTTCCTGTAGGCTGCGGTGGTCCCTCTCAGAGGCAGAAAGGGAACTGTGTCAGTTCCTCAGCTGCTACAAGTCGCAGCTGGTGAATTAGTTTAACCTGTTAATTTAATCTTGATAGGGCAGCAGGTCTTAGAATCATAGAATCACTCAGATTGGAAAAGACCTTAAAGATCATTGAGTCCAACCATGACCTAACCAAACTACCCTAACTCTAACAACCCTCTGCTAAATCATGTCCCCGAGCACAGCATCCAAACGGTTTTTAAACACATCCAGGGATGGTGATTCAGCCACCTCCCTGGGGAGCCTATTCCAGTGCTTAATAACCTTTCTGTAAAGAAGTTTTTCCTGATATCCAACCTAAACGTGTGGATGCTGATGCCCGGTGGTGGGCAATGACAGGACTGTGCTTCCTCCTGCTAGGTGTGCGGCTCTTTTCTCCAAATATCTGAGGCTGGAGACCAGATGCTGAACAAGGATAGTGGTTGGGTTTGATCTTGTCTGGTGATTGCTGTGTTACTATGTTTAAAGCCCATCAATTTCACTGGAAGGCTCATCACATGGTCTCTGCAGGGTTCAAATTCTTCAGAGTTATTCCTGGTTCCTGTAGATATACAGGGCTGTGATGCAAATGTATTAATGCCTAGAATGCCTCAGGGCATCCTAATGAATAGGACTTCACTGGTGGAACCAAACCATGTATAATGATGTACAATAAGCTCCTCCAGGTTGCCTATGTCCATAGGGATGCTTGAGGATTTGTATTTAGAAGGCAATTTCACAGTTTTCCAGAGGTCTGTTTCTGTGGGAAGCGTAATGAGGAGCAGGGTGGCAGGAAGTGATGATGTGAAGGCAGTTGAGGATCACAAGATCTTTAATCCCTCAGTGCCCCACAAGTGGGGCTCTTTATGCCTCCCTGTTCCGCTGCATTAGGGTTAGAAGAGAACAGACTCCTGCTGTCCTGGTTCCATGTGCTGCCTCCAATGGCTTTATGCCACTCTGAACTCAAATGAAGAGAAAGGAAGATAGGATGCTGTCATATTGGCCTGGCTGCATTCATGGAGATCTCTACTAGTGTGACTGTTTTGATAAAAAGAGGACTAGAAATTTCCCTCTTTTCTGTGGTGCTGGCTGATTACAGTGCTGATATGGGAATCACATATGCAATGCCTATACATGTTCCCAAACCTGGTGGAGACCTCCACAAATAAACTAAAAGTGTGCTCAGAATTGCTGCAAATACTTATTTCTTGTCTGCAACAAACCATCCAAGTCCATCTTGAGTAGCCAAAAGGGCTGTCGTTGATGGCTCTGAAAAAAAGTAGCTCTGAGGGGGTGAATGCTGTTTCATGTTGGTGAGAGTAAGTTCTTAGCAGCTAAATTAGGCTTTGTCAACTCAAGGCTAAAACTTCAGCATAGCTGTGGAAAGAGCAGGCTGGCTTTGGCATATCTGGATATCAGCATGATGCGTTTCCTATGGTAGGTGTTGGGAAAGCCTGCATCTGCTGTAAAACAAACAGCTCTTTCCTTGGAAGTGTACTTGCTGAGATATGGTTGATGGACAAGTCTCCCTTGATAAATGTGACTTCACAGATCGTATTTTCAGCCTCATGGAAAAAATGGAAAAGGTATCAAATGTGTCAAACTATTTAAAGGACAAGTCTGAAGGTTTGAAGGTAATCATCCTAAAAATAAACATTAAAAATGATTCATGAGCTTAGGCCAGGTTATTTCAAGATCAAAATCAAGGCCACGGCACTCTAACTCTCAGTGTAGGTTTCCAGGTCATTTTCATTGACTTTGTTCATCTGTGCTGCTTTTGAGGTAAGAAAAAAATGCAAATGCCTACCAGGATCTTTACACTCCCTTCTTGAAAGCATATCCCTGAGGAATCCTGATTCTTCTTGCAGTCTTATGATTGCAGGCCTGTTCTGTGTTGTTTTCCTTTGGTATCTCAATTTACCCATTAGGGAAAAAAAATAAAAAAAGAAAGAAAAAAAAAATTAGTTATGGTGCTTTTTGTATGATCAAAGCTGTTGTACCTTGAAACAGGTTGCCTGGAGAAGCTGTGGAAGCCCCATCCCTGGCGGTGTTCAAGGCCAGGTTGGATGAGGCCCTGGGCAGCATGAGCTGGTGGGGGGCAGCCCTGTCCACAACAGTGGGCTGGGACTGGATAAGCTTTAAAGTCCTTCCCAATCCAAGCCATTCTGTGATTCTATGAACTTTTTTTGGTACAGTGATGTGTACACAGTGACAGCGTGTGGACGGGTCCTATGAGGACGTGGTGTAGCAGGTCTCGGGACCTGCTGGAACGAGTAGCCGTGACAGCCTTGTTTTTCCAAGATAATCTTTTATCAGGAAAGCAGTTTGGAAGATGTAGGTGAAAGGTGATGCTGACCAAGTGCTGCCACTTTCCTGGCTGTGTCCTTTGACTTTTTAGGCTTTTCTTAGCCTCGCTCATCATATTGCAGCTGCTGGATTGCTCCTCACCAACTTGAGCTGCTCCAGGATCATAGGAAGGATTCTGGGGACTGGAGAAGTGTGAGCTGGTGACTGTGTGAAAGTTTACATTTGTTGTACTGTAGACACATCTGATCTGATGTCCTGATGCCCAAATGAGCACATTGGCTGGGTCAGAAGAGGGCAAGATGTGTCATCTTCTTAAGAAGTGACTGAATAAGCTAAATATTCTGTATTCAGTGTTATTTTTATGCTTGCCTGTAAGCCCCAAATAATCAAGTTCAGTTGTTACAATGCCACTTAATTATGAATCTTGATGAAATACTTGCTCCTTCCTTCTTTTCTTTTTCTTTAACCTTGGGACCTTCTCTCACTAAATATGTCCCACAGTCTGATTATGCGCCATGTGGAAAAAAATATCTTTATCAGTTATACATTTGTTATCTTACGTAAACAGGGAAGGCTGTCTAGAAAGGCTGCTAACGTTTGCTCCTGTATAGTCCCTGATAGGGGGGTGTGCAAATGAGAAAGGGGATTGGCAAAAAGGGTTTCTTGAATGAGTGACATTTGGAAGAAAATATTTCCAAGTATTTTGGGTTGAATCATAGACCTGTGAATTGCTTCACTTAAGATCACGTCCTCTTGCAATAGTCTCTCTCCATTCTTAGTGAAGGATTCTTGGATGAAGGATGGCCATCTTCATGAAAACAGATCTTCTGTTTCCCTGCCATGTCCATAGAGCTGATTATGACTGTGAAGTTCTGACTCAGCTGGATTCAGTGGAGAAACCCCAATGGGACTCCCCGTAGCAAGGTTGTGTGACAAGAATTAAACCCTATGCTTAAGGAAGGCAGATCTACTTAGCAGATGTAGCTGCACAGTAGGGATGGCACAACCATGACTTTACACACAGGTGTTCTCCTCTGTAACAGGACAAAGAACAGACAGAAAGCCATGAGAGAAATGTATTCTTAGGAACCCTGTGCCTGGCAGGACATTGTCTTCTAGGTAAGAGAAAGAAACCTTTTGGACTCTGTTCTGCTGAGATTCATGGAGCATGCCTTATAGGTGATGAAGTAGTTAGCTGCATTCACATGGAGCTGATGGCATGTGGCTGGGAATTCCTCTAATGCCTTTAGGTGCTAATGTAAAGTAATCCTACCTGTTTTTTATTTAGTTTTCTCATAATTCTAGTTTGAACACCAAGAGGTGGAATTGCTCTCAATAGTAGCATGCAAGCTCTTCTGAAAACTTGGGCATTGGGCACTGAAGAACCTGGACTGTGTGACATGACAATTTTAATTATTAGCAGCAGTTAAGAGGTGCAGTGCATTACTTAAAATTAGTCTTAAAATAAAACATAAAAATAAATCTCCTCTTTAAGTTGCAGGAAATATTGTTGGTTTTGTGCATACATGAAGGTGTCCATCCCTCCAGCTGAACCAGAGTCTTCCTGCTGTCCTGCCAGCATGTACAGCATGGACATCAGTGCTTGGTGGGAATCTTTGCATCTCTTCCTCCAAGCAGAAGAGGGACTCTCCTTTGGGTACTGGGAGAAGCATGAGCACTGGGCTATAGCTCTGTAGCAGAACTGTACTTATGCAATAAATAAAACATTTCCATGCTGGATTTAGTTAAACCAACACTGCATCTATGTTTGGATGAAGCTTAATCCTACGTTGTTATGAAATCTTTCCTAATAATAATAATTTCATTCACCTCGAGAGGGTCCTGAGCTGATGCCCATGAACTCAACTGTGCTGTGCGTTAATGCTGCCTGTATTAGCAGGTAGGCATTTATTTGGATTTGCCAGCAGTTGCTGAAATGAGTCAAAGTACTCCATGGGCTTTGGTTTGATTGAAAACACTTTCTGTTATTATTTACGGAATATTGAACATGTGCCCTTAGTAAACAGGAGGATAAAAAAAGTAACAGGAAGATAGAGCCTAATCTGCCAAAACATCTCTGGACTGCTG